ATGCTTCCTGACGGTATGGCCTGACACAGGGGCCAATGTTGAAAGTGCTTCCTATATCCAAATGGTAGACGCAGATTCAGTTGGTACTGTGTATTCATATCAGATGATGTGATGATCCTCTTGGCTTTTAGTTTGCCAAGGGTTTCCTAAGCCTGGCCTCTGTGTATGTGACTTTTTTTTCTCATTCCCTGGTTCCAATATCTTCTCTCAGTAAAGTTAGAATAACTTAGATTATGAACTATTCGTTGAACTGACTACCCGGCTTTCATCACCCCAATGATTTTTCCCCATCAAATTCTGATAGCTCATTATATTATCTTTGATGGTGGTGTAACAGCATTCCTAGTGAAAAAATGTCGATTGAGTACAGGCAAAATGTCTCTCTGTATTTTTTGTATGCCAAGGAGATTCAAGTTCAGCACCATCTGGTGGAATTATACAGAGCACAAGCATGCTGTATTTCTGATCAACTGCATATCTGCCCAACTCTTACTTTCATGCCAAATTTCGTTACAATCTGACAATTACTTTTCAGTACACAAATTGTTATAGCAATGAGTGTATATAGGATCTATGCCTTAAGATTTTTGACATTAATATTTAGTGTATAAAGCATATAAATGCTACCTGGATAAATAAAAAAGCAAAAAATCATTATCAGAATGGAATGCCATTTAAATATTCTGCTGAAAATTAAAAGCCTGAAAATCTGAAAATACGTGAAAAGAATTCAGCGTATAAGGTTGAAAGAGATCATGTAACTTGTAACACACAGTGTACTACTACATAGTACTGTGCAGTACAACTACATAATGTTTTTTGCATAATGAAATGGATTAAACTAAAGTGCTTTTGATGTCATAAAATACTGCATTACATGTTATTCTTATTGGAGCCCTAATTTATGTTATGATAAAACTGTAAAATGAAACTTAATGCAATTTATTGTATTTTACATGTTTGTTATTACTCATGAGTTTTGAGTTTAAACTCAGTGTAGGCAGAAGTGATTTTCAAACGTTATGGTGGTACCAGTTAAAAATTTCACAGCTTTCTGAACCAGCTGTTCAATATCTAGGACTTTATTTAATTTTGATCATAATGCAGTTCAAAAAGTACAGCATCTGCTTGAAAGTAATAGAAGGAAATATCTGTTGTATTTCCAAGAGAATTTTCTTAACATGTGAAAGCACATTTATTACTGGATAATAAGGGTGAAAAGTAGAATGATTATTTTAATTTTTGTGACTTAGTATTTACTAAAACTTGCCAAAAGATATATATGGAGCATTATGTAATTAAATCAAGAACAGATAGAAGCACTTAAATAATTTCACAAAATTATTTTTTCAGTAAAGGATTTGTGATTTTCAGTTCATGGCAAAGGTATAGAATATTAAAAGATTCCAGATAGTATTTTGGGACCTAAAAGAAGAATAGGTGCTTACGTATTATCAGGTTAATCAGCCAAGCAGCATGACTTATCGCTAGTTATGGATCAGCATGAGGAGCACACGAGTAACATCTGCACTTTTATTTCATGTAACTCAGATAATTTCTTGATAAGCTTCTGTTGGTTTTCATGAACAAGTTTATAATTTAAGTGTTACTGCTTTGTTTTTTGAAAGAAACGACAAAAATTTGGGACCTGCCTTCCATAGAAGCAAACGGTGAATTCTTTTCAAACTTATTGAAATCTTAGCATAAAAATAGTTTGTATTAATAGACATGATATGAGCTTTACTTGAAAATGGATGAACAACAGCAATGCTGTTTGTTGAATACTTTAAATATCATTTCTAGATGTAGGTAATGATTTTGATTGATAGTTTTGAACGCTTTTTACATTCTTTGGATAAGGAATAGATTTAATATTAACAAAATATTGTTCCAGTAAATTATATTAACTTAACTATTAGAAAATTATTGATGATATTTCACATAAAGAGTGGGTGAAAATATTTGTCAACTCCAATTTTTAATTTAGCCTGACAAAAAAAGTAAGTTACTATGTAAAACTTGTAACATCATTTAGAATTGAATTATAATGAAGCTGGTATATTTCTTTTGTTCATAGGTTTTTGACTACTGTTATATGTGCTAATAATACAGGGTGGTTATAATTAAAATTCCACTTTGTCAAAAAGGAAAACTACTGGACCAAATGTTTTCAAACTTGGTACTCGTGTAAAGGAGGTCATGAGAATTTATTTTCCATGAAAAAAAGACAGTTCAAAAACATATCACCAGGACGGAAATGGCGCTGTATGCAATATTGTTAAACGAAATAAGACATGAAGACATTGGTTTAAAATGTGTTTAATCATTTCTGAAACATGTTAGAAAGCATGTTCAATGTGGCATCCACCATTTTCCGAAAGTAAGTTAAATCGTAATTTTGCATTCTCAACAGTAGCTATTAGCACATCAGGAGGAATGTTACAGATATGTTGCTGTAAAGCAGCTTTCAGTTCCGCCAAATTGTTTAGATTATCACCAAAAGCAGGGATTTTGAGATAACTCTATAGCCTAAGGTCTGGTGACCATGGTAGCCAAGAAGTGGGGAAGTGTTGGCCTATAATTCATTCATTTATGGAATGTTACATAAGTAACTTTGTAACACATGTACCATTGTGTGGCAGGGCCCCATCCTGCGTAAAAATCATGGTGTTTAAAGTGCCACATTGCTGCAGTTCAGGTATCATGAAACATCTTAAGATTGACGCTAAGTAAGCAGTCATGGTGCACGTAACAGGTCCAGCTGTCGACTTCTTCAAAGAAAAATGGTCTAATTATGAAGCTGGCTGTCATACCACACCAAACAGTAACTTTAGGAGAATGTTGACATTGCCATTTAGGGAAGAATGGACATCAACTGTTTACAAAATATTCCATGGCTAATTTTTGTTCACTTCCATGCTTTCAAGGAATTCCAAATCAAAAGATTCCCCTGCAGCAGGATTGTTAAATTCAAGTTTTTTGTATGAGTAGAACTGCAGCACTTTACAGACAATTTTATACACTATACTTCATGGTATGTCCATTCGACATGCGACATCACATATGCTGCATGTACCACATGTGCTTTCCATTGTTGCCTCCTCCAATGCTAATGCAACAACCTCCTTGGTTTCTTCAGAAGCAGATTTTCTTCCCCTCCCAGGTGCAACAGATAAACAACCTGTGGCTTCAAACTTTGGGATCATATTCTTCAAATCCTGTGGTGTCATTGACCTTCATCATATTCTTCTTACTGAACAATACCTTTGTAAAGCATGCCATTCATTGCTATCGCATTCATAATAACATTTCACGAGAAAAGGATGGTCTGGCATGTTTAGTGTGTGTGATTATGGCAAAGCCTCAAGGGCTATCTGCCTAAGGGGAGGGATGCCTTCGTGGAGAACTTTCTAAGGGAAACTGTCTTGTATACATGTTACACATGGGGAAAACCATGAAAACTCCCATGCAACCAGCCCATTCGCAGGATTCGAATTTCGGACCAAACTACCAGTGTTCAGCGAATTTACCACTCGGCCGCTGGTGGGCCGCATTGTTAGAGACATTGTCGATTCATAACAGTGAGAACTCTAACAAATGTGCTCACTTTTATCTGAAAAATAAAGTTATGTATAAAGTGCATTTGCATAAATCCTTTTGTAGAAAACTGAGTGTTAAATTTATGCACTGAGTGTTAAAATTATGTTAAATTTACTTTTATTTAATTTTAATATTTATGATTATTTTCAGTATAACTTTACGTATTTATCGTTTGTAACTTTGTGATTCTGAGTCTGGCAACTGAAAAGTGTTTGAATTTAATGAGAGTTGTCTTCATATTCACAGGTACATGTTTTATAATATAAACGTTGCAATTATTAATGTTACAAAGAATAAAAAGAGTATTGTGTTAAAACTTTGAACGTTATTCGAGTTTTGAGTTCTACGAATATCAATTTATAGCTGAGTTTTGAAATCGGTGTCCAACACATTTACTTCTTCCTGCTGTAAAAACCATTTACAAGTAATTGCGGTTTTGCAATACCCCACAAACAGTTTCCTTTTAGAAATGATTAAAAACGTTTTAAATCGATATCATAAATCTGAATTCAGGATTAAAAAATCACAAATTAGCGATCTGTAAGAAAACAATTTCCGAAATGCGCACAATTTTGTGAGTGATTTGCGATGTAACATTTCCAATCACTAATTTGTGGTTTGCACGCACGTATATCTCTGTTACATGGATGGCACACTTGACCTTTATCGCCTTTAACACCTTTAAATAGTTATTTTGTTTAGGTCAGTGTTTCTTAAGGGTATACAACATGTTAAACCTGTGTGAGAAAAGGTTAAGTTACATTCCGACTCTTATTTCATTTAACAATATTGCATACAGTGCCATTCCTCCCCGTTGGTGAGTTTTTGAACTCCCCCCTCGCGGAAAATAAATTCCCATGATCACTATTACACGATTACCAAGTTTGATAACATTTGGTTCAGTAGTTTTCATTTCATGACCATTACAAAGTAGAATTTTAATTATAACCATCCTGTATATGGTAAAAACAAGCACAATTTTTAGTGTACGAATAGACATACAAATTTGAGTACTGCACATTTTTCAAACTATAGAAATAAAATATTAGAAAAGAATAAAATATATCTAGTAATTGCGTGAATAATATGTTTTGTTAAAGATTACAGTTATTTCTTTTTTTAAACTTTCTTTGTAACTTAAGTATTAGCAAGTTTCCATGAATTATGTTCTATAAAATGGGTCCCTGCCATAAAGCAGATAGCCCTCAAGAATTTTGTTGGTGCAAAATAATGTAATCTGGTATCTAACACACATTGTAATTTATTTTAGTTAGTAGCGTAATCAATGCATTATATTTAGTTTTATACATTATTTTTCTAATCTAAATGATATTTATCTGTTTATCAAATAAAGTTTTGCTAGTTTCTTTTCATTTTGGTTTTTTGTCTTATCAATTTAGGTTCGAGATATACTTAGAGGAACTGTGAATTTTGAAGAACTAGTTGCTGATAATGATAGTAATCCATATTGTGCTTTGTCAAATATGCACAATCTGTCAAGTGAATTAATAGTTTGCAACCAAGTAAAAGTTAAAAATTTAGATTTTGTTCCATGTCGAAAGTGGAATAAAGGTATTTCTGATGTCACTTCAGTGTCAAGTGAAAATGAACAAATAAGAACAGATCTTGAGAAAACAGACTGAGCTGGATTATATTTCACCTTTGGTATCAGAACTTTTATACTGTTTCCTTGGTTTCTTTTTGGCATGAATGAATAGAAGGCATTAACTCAAAGTTCAGCTGAAAAATTGCTTTCGGATCATTGCAACAATTTTCTTATACCACGAAACTAAAGATTATATAAGTTTCATACATTTTATTTGAATGTATTTTGCTTGTTCTGTAGGTAGTTTTAATTGGTTTCTGGTAATGTGTTTCCTGTACAGAGAAATAATTTTTTACAGTGATGTTGTTCTAAAAAAAGGGAAAAAAATACTTTGTTATAAAAGTAAAAGCATATGCATGTAGTAAATGCTTAGAATACTAGTTAACTTTTCATTAAAAATGAAGAGGAGTAAAATAAATTGTTTTGTTTTGTTTAAAAGTGTTTGTTAACAACATCTGTAATTTATCTTAAATGTAGTGAAGTATATGAGAATTCAAAGTATCTAGTAATTTCTGAGATTTATGAATATGTTTCCATTGCCCACAAAGGAGTTTTAACTTAGAAACTGATTGCCATGCTTGGGAATCTCAAGTAATTAAATTCACTCTCTGTAAGTTTGAAAACTTAAAATCCTTTACAGGAAACTTTTTAGATCATTTTAAATGAGCTTAGCAATCAAGATGTGAAAATCATGGTATATTATTGCAGTTAAATTACCAGACTAAGAGCTTTAAATCTAATCGCCCATGGAAGGAATTTCATAGTGTGGGTGGGGGGAGGTAATGTGATCAGCCTGAGTCCACTTGCTTCTTCTGTGCTGTTAAAGAATTATATAAATCTAAATAAATATATGGGTATTTTTGGGGTTTGGGGAAGGGTGATGATCGTTTAGCAATGGTGAAAGGTGTGCATGGGCAAAAAAGGTTGAAAACCATTGGTGTAGATTGAAAGATTTAGCTTACTATCAATTTAATTCTTGCTATTCAAATTTCCAGAAATGATGTAACAATAAGATACCAGAGTTATTTAAGTTGGTATAAATTTCTTTGTTAAAAACAGCCAATTTTTTAAAGAAAATTAAATGTATATTTTTATTTAAGAAAGTCTTTCGTTTAATAATTTTTACATGATGTGAATTTAAAATTACTTGTGTATTGCTGTAAGGATTTATCAAATAAAGAGTATTTTATAAAAATAGTGTTTTAAATTGTCAATTAATTAACATATTTAAAATAATTATGAATTAAAATTAGTCACCATTTTGTAGAAATAATTTAATTCTCATATCTCTTATATTTTTATTGCATCAAAATATTGAATAAGAGCACTGAACATTTGTCTGTGGCAGTTTTTGTTTTTGGTCTTCTAAAAGTTTCATTAACAACTTGGATAATTTTCATTATATACAGATAATAGATTTTTATTTGGATTCATTCATCCACAAAAAACAGTTTTTACACGCCTAATGTAAATTTTGCCATTCAAAACGTACTTAATTTTTCAATATTTTTAAATACTCTGCATAGTTATATAAATATTATTTTATGTGCATATACATGTGTATGTATTTTTCCTTGTATTTCAAAATGTTTTCATAGAAAATGTTTTGTATTTACATATTAAAGAAGTACTATAAGTATAGTATAAGAAAAGTAATTTGTTAAATAATATTTGTTCTGGTGTATTAAGTAATCAGAAAATTAGATTCTATTAATAGTCAGTGTAATAGTTTGTAAGATTCTAACGTGTGGACTTTTAAGTTACAGTTAAAGTTGAAGAATCTTAAGAACTGGTAAGCGAATAATCACTTGAGTTCGTGAGACAGAAAATAAAACTTGGGAAGGGTTAAATACCCTTTATTAGTCCAAAATAATTTCATAGAACTCCTTGGAGTTTTACAATAAAACCTCCACTCGGGCTTGAACTCAGAAAACTAAGAACTAAAACTTAACTAAAAAGATATAGCTGAAGCTATAGATCCTAACAGTTGGCCCCTTAACGCTAATTAACAATGAAGCTATCAAGGGCCTAAAGTACGGCCGAGCGTAATAATAGCTTAAGAGAGAGAGTAGCCTAAAAAGGCGAACGCGCGCTAGTCAGAATCACTAGTTCTCTCTAGTGAAGTCAGTTGAACTTCACAGTGAAATACTTCTCCTTTGCATTCAAACGCAATTTGAAAAATACGTTCTGGCCGGAAGTTTTAAGTTTGAAATTAAGAAAGGATAGGAAAGTAACTTTAACTCAAAATTTAACTGTTAGGTAAATTAAGATAATCCTTGCAAGTTTTTAATAATACAGACATTCGGTAAGCGTGGTAAAATCATATGTTATAGTTAATAGTCAAATCATGAAATTCAGAAGAATAATATTTTATGGTCTAGCTAAAATGGACGTTTTTAAATTATGCTATTTTTTTAATGTGAAATGCATGAAATAGATTATTTTTCGTGACTTGTATATTTTTTCATAGGTATAACTAAAAAAGAAGTTCAGTTCTTTAAAAAAAATATTCCCCCTTCCTCCCGTGCTAACCCTGGAAAGTATTTCGTTTTCAGTTAACATGTAGAATGTAATGTCCTTGAAAACAAGTCTCAGTTATGGAGAAACTGACAGGTGAAGTACAAAAAAATTTGGAAGCATAATTCATCAGTTGCACACTTTGGCAAGTGTTGCAACTCTACGAAATATAGGACATTTTTATTTCCTCATCTTTGCTCACAATCAATTCTTAGAGCACTCTCATTCAGCAGAGCATAAATAATCAAAACATATTGATAAAATGTGGATGAAAAATTAGTCTTCCAAATTTAATAAGTCTGCTATCAGTTAACAAAGTAAGTGATTTTAAAGCATGAAATGAAATCCTTACTGTTTAAAATTTGTATTTTAATTCTAAAATAATGTGTCTAATTTCTGTAAATTGCAATGAATTAAATTCATAAACTGAGCAATTTAAAACTATATATGCAGATTTGGGATAATTTAAATTTATTTTACATTTTTTAATAATATATCTAACGGAAATAAATTACTACGCTTTTTTTAATTTATCCAATTGGAAAATTTTGCAAACATTTGCATCTTCCAAAGCTCAATAACAACCTTGTATTTAACGTACGTATATTAAAACACTCAATCGATTTCGAGGGCAGCTAAAGGTCCCTCCTCATCAGGAGAACGAAATTACTAGAAAGGCGAAAAAAGAAAGAAAAAATAGAAGAAAGAAAAGAAAAATAAAGCATCGGCAAAGGAGTCTCAGAAACACGTGGTCGTTATGAGCACTGCGCGTAGTCGTAACCGGATTTTGAATCAGAGTTACACTGGCCGCCTACTTTTACTGAGCCAGGCTATCTGATCAAACATATAACACATAGCCTAAAACGCAAAAAATAGGAAGCTAGGGGCAACTGCACCTTCGCGCCCAAGTCTGAACCCCGAATAAAGGGAAAGCAGTCCAAGTGTCGGTGATATGCCGCGAATATACTACTTGTATGACGTGTTCCGGCTTTTTGAAATAACTGCCCTGCCGGCCGCCTGACAGTAAAATTTCCCTGGTGCTTGAAAGCGAGGTTTTCATGGTGAGAAGGGGAGACCGCAAGACAGCACAGGTCTGAGAAATAATAAAACAGCTAGTCCTGGAGTGGGAATAATAAACTGATAGTAGGCAGTGACGTCATGTCCAGTGCGGAAAATACGCTATAAATTCAGTTAGGTGGGAAAATTCTGATTTTCGGCAAACATATGAGCTGGAAGAGATCGGAGATATCTATCCTTATTCAGTAACTCATAATGGAAGCTTCCAAAATAAGTAAGGAAATCACATTGTTTGGCAGCATTGAAGAATTTCCTATTTGTTGAAAGGAGATAGTCTTTTACATATTCAGTTTTCAGATCCTGTTGAAGTTGTTCGTTTCTCACAAAGTAGTGCGCATTTGTCATGATTAGGATTTTAGACTGTAGAATTTGTAGCTGGTTAATGTTTGCTTCCGTTGCAGCGGCCAGGCAGGGAAGACATACGTCATTATTGGCCTTATGACTGAGAGATAGATATGCCTTTTTTTGACCAAGTCCAATCTTGAGTATTTACCTAGTAATGGGAGAAGGCAGTGGAAAACATAATTTGCTTTCTTCTTGACATGTTGAATGTGATTTCCCCAGGTGAGGTTGTCATTAATTATGATTCCGAGATATTTTGCTTGTTTCGACTGCCGTGACCGGCTCGTTAAAGATGAGAACTTGTTTCCTCGTAGGTTGGGACTTTTTCTTTTGTCTAATGATTAATAGTTGGGGCTTTTGTGGTTGATGCAAACTTTCCATCTCCGGCACCAGTTTTCAATTTGAGGGATGAAATTCTAAAGTTTGTGAATAGCATGGTTGCTAGTTCCAAGTTCCAAGTACCGCTGGATGCGCCGCTGATTAACTTGCAGGATTTGCAAGTTTTGTTCCGGCTGTCTGAGTTAGTTGCTATAGAGCGCTGGAAGTAGGAGAATGCATAAGTGAGACCTAAGTCAGGATTGCAGATGTTGAGAGGGCGTGACTACCTTGTCACGTGAGGTGTGAAGAAGTCATTAATACGTTGCGAGATTTCAGGTTAGAAATGCTTAAATGTACAAATGTGCAGAAATAATTACATAAAAGGGAAATTTTTCTAGTAATCATCAGAGTAACAACATATGGAATAAACCAAATTTCATCACATAATACAGTCTAGCAGTCCAGTAAGTTGCAGTTCTGAGTCCATGATAACATGATGGGGGTGGTGTAAACAGAATCATGGTTTCATTATAACAGTCGAAGATGTTCCAGGAAAGCAATAAATATAACAGAATGAATGCAGAACAAATGTTAACACAAAATACATATATACAAATTCAAGATGTCTGTCCCAGAGCATACGAGTACTTAGAATAATAAGTCACATATCACGTGAGCGGAATCAGGCATTCTGATTCGCTTAGCGTAAACTTGTCCAAAACTGATGAAAAGAGTAAAAAATTAAATAATGGGTTGCAATAGCAAAAACTCACTTTTTTTCTCATGTTCTTTAATATGATAAACATAAGCAATACCAGAAATTTCAGTCCTAAAAATGCAGAAAGTCCTTACAACAAGGCTGAACATAGAAACTCAAGTTCTTAGGTCACGTGGGAGGTCACTCTTCCCAGGCGCTGTACTTTTAAAGAAGTGCTTCTTGAATATTGAAGAAAAGCAGTATTCTGGAGTAAAGTAAAAGAAAATAAGAGTAAAATCACTATGTACAGATCAAAATTTCCACTAACTTGGTATTAGGTGGGGAAATTTTCGTTTCCACTGAGTATGTACGCCGCGAAAGGTCGAAGAAATCGATCATCGGTGAGAACTTCATAATGAAGCATGTTGAAATGATTCATGAAGTTACATTCCCGCGCATTTTTGAAGAATTTATCGTTAAGTTTTCGCAGACGTACCACGATGGTATCGATTTTGAAGTCCTCATGGAGGGTCTTGTTGCGGACATAATAGTGTGCATTCGTGATAATACGCAGTAGTTTATTTTGAACGATTTGGAGTTTGTTTACATCAGAGTGTTTGGCTGCCGCCCAGGCAGGAGATGCATAAGTCAAAATAGGTCTAATTGTGGAGAGATAAACAAGTCTTTTCTTCCCCAAATCCATTCTAGAGTATTTACCGAGTATAGGAAGCAAACACTTGATAATTTTTAGTGCAGTGGTTTGAACATTGTTGATATGGTCAGTCCAGGTGAGACGATCATTAAGAGTGACTCCGAGATATTTGCCACTTTTCACTATAGGAACTCTTTCATTAAAGAGAAGGTGATACTTCAGTTGCTTATTTCTTTTCCTTCTGCGAATGATCAATAATTGAGATTTTTGAGCATTAATCTTCACTTTCCAATTCGCGCACCATGACTCGATACTTGGAATGAAGGCTTGTAGTTTCTTAATAGCGAAGTTAATGTTCGCAGACTTAACTGCCAGGGCAGTATCATCTGCGTAACATGCAAGGATAGAGTCGTTACTGTTGGGTTTAGGGAAGTCTGCAGCATAAAATAAATAGAGTACAGGGCCTAAACAAGACCCTTGAGGTAGTCCACTTTGCATATTACGTTCTGAGGAGTAAGCTCCTTTCACGTACACTTTAAAAGTCCTGTCCGAAATAAATGAGAGGATGATCAGAAGAATTTCTCTTTCAAAA